TTCATGGTAAATTCAGAACATTGTCAGGAGATTTTTTCAAACATCATATGTATTATTTAATTGTTACACTATATATCTTTATACCTTGTAATCACATACATAGAGACAAACAACTTACAGATACCAACATCAAGATACTTCTCTATCAAACAACATTATTAAGTGACCTCGCAAGTCTAAATGTACATATTAGTACGTACTTTAATAGACTTAAACATTATATATATATATATATATATAATAACATGTAATTCCTGATGTAGAGAAAGCTGAATTCCTAAATGGCTAGTGACAATTACTTGCTCTAGAAATATGTTATGTAAAATTCAAACACAGACCCAAGAAGTCAGGTTGACATTAATCAAGTGAAGAAAAGTCACTAATGGCCGCACCAAACACAAAGGTATATCAGTTAGTAACAGGTCTTAAACCCCTTGACATGTTTATATCATTATTATAAAGGTAGGGGTGATACAAAATTTGAAGAAACAACTTGGAGGAGTTGGCCAAACAGAGACAAAAAAAGGGGCCAAAATCAAAAACAAAATTTGGTGTCAAGAGTAAAAAAAAAGACATTCAATCTTGATGTAAATATAATACATGTTTTATTCTACTCTGTTAGCTTATGTCATGCAATGTGACACTTGTTCTAGAATCAAATTATGCATTTAAACTAAGACATTTAAGACACATTTTTTTCCTCTTTATTTTCAATTGACAATTCCATCCAATCCCAGCTGAAAATTTAAGCATATTGTGATGCTAGTGTTTTCACAAGGGAATGTTGGTTTTCAGATGAAATTAACTAGTCATAAAATGGAAACCAACTGGCTTTAGTTATTTATATTATGGGACCAATGAATGATGCTATTAAATAATGGTTTAGCTAAACTTAGGATTATTTTTAGAAAATAATATTATAACTAAAGTTCATTTTTATTTTGATGTGAATTACGATACAATTTTCGAAGCAAATATTGCATGTATAATTTCATAAAAAAAAATTCTGCTAAAATTATTTTAACACAAAAACTCTTTTCATCCATATTTAGAATAATCATACAACTTAACACAACACAGAAATAGAATAGACCCTGTTTTCTTTTTTTTCCATAAAACCAATATCTTTTCAACGGAGCTGGTTTTCATGATCAATACATCCTAAATTTTTACACTCCCATTCTAACATTGAATTGGGTTTGGAGTGAATTGACTTGTAAATTTGCTTTTGCTAATCATTGGTCATTATTAGCTGTAAAGCAATTAGAAACAGTTTGAGAAAACAAATATCTTGCCACAAATGAATAAAAACCCTATAACCCGAGTGCTTACGAAAGGTGGACCTTTCTTCTTCAGGGGCAATCTGGGAATGGAGGTGTAATCGAATGTGTGATATATGTAAAGGGAGTTTAGTGACATCATGAAGGTCACCCAGTTTTCCAGGAAATGTTTAGTCTATTTCTCTATGTACTGTTCTAAGCATCTCATTTCTGGTACAATCTAGCCGATGGCGAGAGTGTATGTGAAAAGGTGTTAGGGATATTGTACTTTAGAAATGGTTAAATATATGTATATTTAAAACTATACTTAAGTGTTTAAGTAAAATATAGGTGACACCTGGAGACTGATTGAAAAAGGTGTGTTATACTAATCAATTTATAAAAACAGGTATGGAAAATTATCTTAAATAAATAGTAAGTTTACATGAAAAAAATAAGCAAAGAATAAAAATTATTTTTCTGGCAGAGATGAAACGAATAAACAGAGATCACTGATTCCAGGATCTAGATTAATTCCAAAAGGTTGAAAAGTGGTTAGATTAGCAATCCAGTAAGCTTTTTTTATTTCTCTGTCTGCTTTAGTTTTGAATCCTGTTTCAATGCCGATGAGACTAACATTTTTAATGGAATGACTGGGTTGGTTAAAGAGTTGATCAACAGGGAGATCTTTTTTCAGTGTTAATAGAAGATTTATGTTTGTTGAAACGTTCTCTAAGAGTTGTTTGTATATGTCTTACATATTGGTATTTGCTAATTGCTAAAATACATATCAGATTAAGTAACACATAGTACAGCTTGAATGTTGAGTATCTGATGTTCAGGTCTATGGTTTTATCAAACTCATAATTTACATTTTTATTAACAAAATTAAATTCATAAGCAACTTAACCCTAATATGGTTCACATTGTAACTGTTACAAAATATGCTTATCTTTAATACCCGAGTGATTATGTACAGAAGGCAGTGCTAGTGGACATGCAATAAATGTTCCCCTGAAAACTATTTCAGATTTCCAGAGGTGAAAGGTCTTTTTGGTTCATTGGAAGGACAACAATGAATTTAAGTTTGTTTCCTGTTAAGCACAAAGCTACACAATGGGCTATCTGTGCTTTGTCCACCACAAAGTTTTTAGCATTATAAGCCTACAGACTGACTGCTGAGCTACTGTGGGCATAAATGTAATATTTGGCCTGAAGATATTAAGCCTATGTACTATAAAGTTCAAATTTTTCTATTAAAGTGTAATTATATATTTATTGTTCTAATTTGACTTGTTGTTGTAATGTAAATATTTCATTATTAGTTTCAACGAGCATGATAACATCTAAAATTTACAGCTTAATCAGTTATTTGTTTACCATTCATCAGTAATTGTGATCTCTTTGAGAAAGACCATCTATCTAGTTTCCTGAATAAATTTTAAATTTGTCTTGTGAAAAAATTAAGATTTTGCTTCAAATAAGAAATTAAGAAAAACGTTGTTGAAACAATTCTACCCTTGATAGAAGCAACTGTTGTAAAATCAAAATTGTAATGACATATTTTTGACAGATTTCTCAATGATGAACCTAATTGAAATGCATATCTCTCCAAATACAAGCTCATGTACTTCATTGAGGACAAACAGCAGTGTAATGATAATAAATACTGTGTTATTGATTCAATAATTAATTAATATGTACTACCTACAGATAAATGATTGAGTAAGTGTACTTTTAAGCTGATACTATGATTGAAAAAATTCATTGCAGGTTCATATTGGCAATGCTACATGGTTAAACAAAGAAAATTTAAATCACCACAGGTAGGCAACAGGAATACTCAATGTTTATGAAAGATCTTGCTGTGGCTAGCTGAAGTTATGAACTCTTGAAAAACCAAAGTTTAGAAAAAAAGATTCTGTAATACCACAAAAAAAAAGAAGTAAAACATAAAAACTCCCTAAACTATGGAGCTTTACAAAATAAGATATAATTATTTCTGCCTTGCTTGGCTACTTAATGGTCTTAGATATTTTAATTATTTTGTCCAAATTGCTGCATCCTAATATTTCAAGTAATACTTTTTTGTATATTATTCATAGAGTTGGTAAAACCTTTTGCTTCTGCTGAAAAAAACTGTCAACTAATAAAAGTTAGGGTAGTGATTATCATATTGCTATTTTCCCATGAATATAATTCAAAAGAATGTACAGTAATTTTAAAGCCATAATTTTTATATAAATGAAATTTAGAATTCATACTTAAAGTTTTAGTTGTGCTTTTAATTTCAACACAAAATTACATAATTCCAATTTTGGCAGTATCATTTTTAAGCAATTTATTTCATATAACTCTCATATTTCCATAAAGAATACTTCAAATTTGGGCTTGAGATAAGACATATATCTACAGATGAATTAAACCACTGACTACAGAGATTTAGAAGATACATAACATTAAAAATAATGGATATAAATATGCCTTCATGAAAAATAAAATTAATAAAGTAGAAAAGGTTCCCGCATCATAAAATAACATATTTGTTTTTATATTTCCAATGCATCTTGTATTTTAATACATGAAATAAAAGTGTAGGTTAAAATGCAACAATTTTGTAAAATATGTCTCACCAATAATATGTACATGTGAAGTGCTTATGTCATTTTGGCAGTAAATAAACTAAATTTTTTTGTGGAATTAATTTTGCTACCTAAGTAGACAAGTTTTTAAACATTTTATAATTAAGCGATGTTGTAATAACAAATAAACAGTGGTTTAGTTAGTGTATGGTAATACAATAATGATTATACTAAAATTTACTGAAGTAGATGTACGTATCAGGTGACATGTACAAAGCAGAAAACAGGAGGAAATTAAAACTGATTAGAAAATAAGAGTATCATAAAGGGAAAAATACAGTTGTTAGGTTGACCACCTGGAATGGGAAAAACAGCTGGAACCATTAGATACAGATATGAAAAGCATGTAAGGATGATACTTCTACTATTTACCTAATAGGCCAGATATTCTACAAAGTTCAACGTCATGGCACCACATTTTTCTGTTAGTTTAATGAAAGCTTTATAGTATTGATGACAAGATCCTCTTATATATCATAGTCCCTTCTAATAAAAATAACAAAATCCTTATTTTGAATAGATGTATTGTACTCTCTCTCCCTCTTGAGTTATTTACTGGTTTAGAGATATTTTTAGTGTTTATAGAGATATTTGCTTGCTCAAATAGTAAGTTGTGTTTCATTACATGATTATTAATGTAAGAAACCAAATCAGAAGCCATTTCTGAAACTTTTTCCCTCAAGCAACTGTTTGTCTCAAAAAATCATTTTTGGCTGAGAAATGTGTTTAAAAATAAAGAAAAAACACCATGCTTCAAATCTCACATGTTTGTTTATTCACTTGAGCCAGTTCTCAAGTACATGTACTGGCAGCAAAACCAAACATCTGAGCAAACACATATCTGAAATCATCAACAAATAACTTACATCAGTGTGTCCCAACCTTTTTTGTTGTGACCCTTATTTGGACACCAAAAGGACCTCACGACCCTCAGGCTTAGGAAATTTATATACACACAACCCTTCACGACCCTACTAAGGAACCACTGCGACCCTGATTTGCAACATGTTATGAATCAGTTGGAAAGTAGGGGTTCTGCAAAATATAGCGTACAAGTATATGTGGATATTTTTTCACTTGAACAGACAGATCCCAATAACTGTAGAGTATTAGTTTTCAGAATGAGTTTTATCAAATTACATTGTTTAGAGTGACCATATGTTGATTTGCTGACTATCAAGAGGAAATCTATTATATTGAAGTTATTTCCTTCTATCGGTACATATAAAGTAAAAAAACCCCTCCACCCCCCCAACCCAAAAAAAAATACTTACTTCTTTAGAGTCAATTGCACTGTCCATAATTGCAGTCCATCCTTTAAAGGTAGCCTACAAAGATAAATTTTACTTCAAATGCTTTACTAAGTTACATCTGAGTGAGAAAACAGTCTAAAATATAACTTAAATATTTCAACTTAATTTTATTAACAGAGCTTGTTATGATTAAAATCGTAACAGATCACTTTATAATAATGATTACTTATCATTAATTATTTAAATTATACTTTTCCTTTAAACCATACCATTTTCTCAAATAAATACATATTCTCACATTATGCAACTACAAATACAGTTTTATATTTTTAAACCAAAAATATGTTTTAGTAGCAGATTTACTATTTCTTATACCACACAACACTATTAAGTATATTTTCACTACATTTTTTAGAAATGTTAAATAACATTGTGCGTGAAATCAATATTTTTCTTTACACTACAAATAAATAAAAACAAAAACTTTGAAAACTAAATACTGTCAATCTTTGCTTCTCACATGGGAAACATTTTCCAAATGTGACTAAAAATTACAATATTTGAAATATCATTTTGGCAGCAGTTCTTCAAATAAAAACTGTACTTACTACTTGAAAAAGTGCCAAGTATCCATTCAGTACATTATCAAAATTAATCATCGGGTTGTCCCACGTTAAATTTCTGGCTGAACAGGCTTGTTCGTTTGGCACATAAGAGGAATTTACTCGATTTCCTTCATTATCAAGACATCGATAATACTTCCCAGCAAACATCTGGACACCCATTATGGCAAATATCAACCAGAAAATGAGACAAACTAACAACACATTGAAAATAGCTGGTATGGCCTGGATGAGAGCATTCACTACTACCTATGTTGGAAAAGTCAAATAAGAAACAAAAAAAAATCTTCACTAATGTGTGTTTAAAGAGTGGAGAATCTTATAACATAAATTCATAGATTTGTCTAATAAAGAACTTACATACATGCACAACTTATGATGGCCTACTAAATAAATTAGCATTCAGCATATACACTAACTACTCAGACTTCTCAACAGTAAAATAATAAGAGAGCATCAAACTTAAATGTTTATGTTAAATATTCTGAAGCTTTAATCTTTGTGGTGAACTTCAAATCAATATTCTTTAACACAAGAAACAATGCATTTTATTATGTGTTTACATCCTTTTTTTAAATATGAAATCTACTGCTGTATTCACACAGTATAAGTTCTATTTTGTGTTTACATAGATTAAAAAAAAAGGAAAAACTCAATTTATTTTTTTCTCTAATCAGAATTTATGACTTACCGAGAACATTAACAAAAACATCAAAGCATATAATATTTAAAAGATTAATGAACCATTTTACACATTTTATTGAATGAAATATCAGAGACAAAAATTCTACTTCTATAAAAGGTAAAGTCATGCACATGGCAAGATAGCACTATAACATGAATATCTGAGATACAAAAACCACTACAGTAAGAATAAAAAGATCCAACTTACTTGGTTTTGTAGGAAAGATCTGTAATCCACTTTTTTTTTCTTACCTTTCTTGATCCCATGTTGTTTCTAACTAAGTATTACATAGCAAACACTTAAGCTACATGAACACAAGGGCCAATAGCAAACAGTATAGCCATGCATTATCTATGAAATTCACATGCTACATTACAGAATCAAACAAGTAGCCATTAACAAACATTTCATTTCAAACAAAAAAAGTATAAAATTCTGACTTTACTACCTTACAAAAAACACCTGAATGATTCAATAGCATAATTAAGTTAAAATAATTTAAAGAGCAGACTTTTCATATGAAGTACAAAATTCAAGAATCAATTCTTAGGCAGGCTTGAAGATAAAAAATCAATCATAAGTGTAGTTTCTAATCTTTTTAGCTTTTCTGTGGCATATATACATGCATAAAACTATTAAATGAAGTGATGAGAAAAACAACAAAACAATATAATCACATTCCTGTTTCATAAAAAAATCTCTTAGGATATCAAACACATATATACATATAACAACTTGTACAACCAACAGGTATGATGTAATATAATGCTATGTAAATTCACATGTATCACTGTGTATGAGAATGATATCTGGGGAAAGCTTACTGTTACCTAAATTAACAACATTATACCCAACATTTGCATAAACTGAGTAATCTCCTACAATATCCACATGTTATTCCATATATAGAAATATTTCTAAGCATAGAAAAATAAAGCCTGATTTACAAATTACGATTTTCTTGAAGCAACACACAGAAAATGTTCAGGATGAATTTTAATGTTGTGTTTCTTTATTATTGCATATTTAGGAACCAAACTACCAACATACAAGTATACTAGCATTTATTCACTCTCTTGGTTGAAAGAGTTGGTGTCCTTAACTGGAAAAAAGAAATTTACTTTAAAAATCAATACTCTTCTATAATAGACTGTTGCCTTGCCATGATGAATCTACATTAATGTAGAACTAGCCTACTGTAATGTTGAAACAAAAAATATGTGTGAATCAATCAATACTACAAGAGATTCTTTCATGTTCCCCAATATTTAAATATACATATTTGTTACACTGATTATCATTCACTAAATATATATTCTTAACTTTTTTAGTAAACTACCCAAGAAATTTCTTGATGATACTTATAAGTTCAGAACACTCGAAGTTCACTAACAAACTTTCCTACTTTTAATATTAGCAGTAATAATTTACTTTGGAATTTTCAGTATGACTGAATCTGATGTTTGTATGTGTAAAGGTGTGTAAACATAAGTGGTTAATATTGCAGGATTAAGATTCTAAACACCACATTTTAGAGAAAAGTTTACTTCACACACTTAAGAAAGCAAAACTGTACATTAATTCAGTGCATAATACGAGCCTTTATGTCAACACTCAACCATTAGCAAGTTATGCCACTTCAAGCAATACATAATTGAACATTGATGTTGAAGATACAGCTGCATAAATTACACTGGACGAAGCTCCTTCTATTACATCACTTACCCGCATTCCCTGAAAACGAGAAAGGGCTCTCAAAGGTCGGAGAGCACGAAGAGTTCGCATTGTCTTGAAGGCTTGAATCTTCGCTACACCTGCCATTGTTGCCACAAGATTGACCACTGACACCTGACAGGGTAGAAAGTCACTTACATAAAAGGCTCCTTCTAGTTGAGTTTCTAACCCCAACTAGAACTCACAAGGCTATGCTACTCAATTACCGCCTTCTACTGGACTCTGTTGTAACCAGCTCATGTTTCTATATGACATTTAGTCATATTAGTACCTCACTGTAATTTGAAAATAGAGATCTGATCTTGTATGTATAATTTACATTACTCCAAGCAATTGTTTCAATAATTACAAATGTTTTCTTAGTGTATTGATATTTTTTAAAATATTAATAATTAGAAAAACGAAATCTCTAACCAATCAAGTAGATAAAACACACAACATAAAAGTAATTAACTTCCCAAACAGTAAGGTAATGTCACGATATTCCAATATAACTAAATAAAAAATATTCATAGTTTCAAATAAATTACATATATGTGTATAAATATTTTAATTTATGTGACAACAAAAATAACCAAAAACTTCAAATGTAAAATTATTAGTAAATAAAGGTAATTTTGATCAAACTTAAGAAATTATAAACTAAAAAAGTACAGTTTTTATACCTTTCGTTTATCATGTGTATGTTTTGCCAGACTCCTAAAATTATTAATTTTGACATTTTTTGCATAAAAATAATAGGTACAGTTGGTGAAACAATACTAAATTAATGTTTCGAAAATGAGCTGGTTACAATAGGGCCATAGAGGCACTGATTCTAGCTGACATCCTGTGCTTGGCCATCACAGTACTACATAAAAACATCACAGCAATTACAATACAGGCAGTTCCTCAGAAGAAAAGATCTCTTCATTCGGTTGCTTTTCACTGAGTTACACAAACACAAGATATGCACAACAGACTTGTGTGTGGACACATTCTTAGGTTTACTTACTCTCATCCCCTCCATCCGAGACAAGGCCCGAAGGGGGCGTAGGGCTCGCAGGGTTCGCATTGTTTTAAAGGCAGGAATGTTGCTAAATCCCATAAACCCAACAACCAGGTTAAACAAGGAGACCTGATTAGGTCAGCAAGGAGAGGCAGTGGGCAGGAATCAGGAGAGGCACATAAGGAGAAAAAAATCCAAGGGATTAGTTGGAGAGGTTCTAGGAAGACATTGTCTAGGATGTAATAAACAATGGGTCCGGATAAAAAAACACAAAAGATAAGTTGTTAAGAACCACAAAATAGCCATTGAATATGCCCACTACAAAATGAAACAATAAATATAATCAATATTAACTTGAATTTCTATTAATATAAAATCATAATAAAAACTTTTAATATATTTTACTTTTCTTTAACCATAAAAAAATAGTAAGAAACAATTTAGCATATTATTTTATTTTTAAACAATGAGTTCAAAACATGGTGATTTTATAAAATAAATACTACAACATTCACCATTTTTTTCACTTTGGCATATTCTTTGAAAATGGATTAATAATAAAGCTGTAAACTCAAACATTATATTTAACAGCATGTACAACTTTGAAAACATAATTTATAAGAAAATGCAAATGATAACATGTACAAGAATGTTCAGGTATAAGTATTACATTTTTAGAATAAAAATTTATTTCAAAGTAGTTAGTTAGTTCCCTTAGGAAAAATGCCCTATAGAATGGCTATAGTATTTTTGTATAGATATAAAATGGTAATAGCTATCCTATAGCCTCTAAACTTGTCTTGTCCTATGGAATATCTTCTATAGATATTTTGGTATTGCCTTAGAACTGTATCCCTTTAAATATTATATAGACCCATGGCTACAGTCCATCTATTAAGTTGTCTGTGAAACGTCTATAGTTACTCTATAAAAAAGGATGTATGACCATTATTTAAGCTTCAATTGCAAAATATTTTGCCCTTCTAGAGATCTATAATAATATATAACTATATCATTGGTAAACCGGCTCATCTTATAAATGTAGCTTGTCTATGAAAAGGTATAATCATTTTATAGGATATATGAAAAAAATCTATATTTTATAAATTATGAGTAAGTTTTCTCTACAAATTGTGAAACAAATGTCATAAACACACTATAAACTTCATTTGTACTACTTTTCTATGAAATGTATATAGACATTCTATACAACATCTGTAAAAATTAAGAGTCACTCTACAGTTATCTATAAAATAGCTATTGTATAAGTTAAGTTTAAAAAGCTACAGCCACTACTAGTTGTCTATAAATAGACAATGTCTAGTCTGTAAACATTCTATCAGTTAGTTGTTATTCTATAGGATGTCTTATAAGATATCTCTAGCTACTGTACAGTTACCTATAAAAAAAGGCTACAGCCACTCTATGGGTGCTCTGTAAGAAAGGCTATCCCTCTTCTAGATTTTCTTTAAAGTTTGTCTTTAAAAAGACTATACTCACTGTAAAGTCTTTTTTACAAGTTATAGGGAAGGACTATAAAATGTCTCTTGTCACTCTACATCTAATCTCTAAAAAGGCTACATTATTTTACACCTCTACAGCCAGTCTACAGTTTGTCTGTTAAAAAGACCATAGTACATTGATTTGTGTCTGTTTATAAACACTGGGAAATTTACATAAGAAAGTCCATAACTTGAAATAAGTCTTATAAACATTCTGTAAAGGGATATAAAATCTAATATTTCTAAAAGTCCATAAGTGGTATATAGCTTTCCTATAGGATTTCATTAGTGTTTACTATCATTTGTGGGATACATCTACAATACTTTATATTCATTCTATCAACCATTTTCTAGATGTTTATAGCAGTTCTGTATGGTATCCTTCAAATATGTACAACTGTTCTATATAGGATGGCAGTTAAAACCAGCCAGCTCTGGCAGGGCAACAATTATCTAGGATGTTTTGAATACTTCTAATATAACTACATTATAAGGTTTATTTGCACTGTAGATCACACAAATAAGTGACAATTACATCTGTCTGTCCCTACAGCAGCTTTATAGGTGACTTTGCTGTATTTTTCATCTAGCAGTGATTAGAATAGTCCAAAAATGCCATAGTAGAAGTTTTGTTTCACTACCAAATCTAAAAAATATACAAAGTTTTTCTGATAACTATTGGCAGATGGATAGTTTTTAATATACTGTTTACAAACTGGTGTAGGTTATCTTAATTCTAATATAAAAAAATATTGGGTTTTAAAAAAACAGAAAAATGTAATTTTTATAATGTGAAAATTAAATGTTTAATTCTGTAAAAATATATATAATTAATATAAAAACTTCAATGTATTTTGTGTTATATAATTGTTTTGTTTTAAAGAATAAAAAATATGCATTATAAAGGCTATATTAAAAATAAAGAAAACTTTTTAATTCCAATTTTAATACATGCAATTCAGGTTCTTTATTGGGTATGTTTTTAAAGTCCTATAGAATATTTATTGAAACTTTTATCTGTATTCTAATAAAAAAATTCTTACAAAGCATAAATAGTTAGCTCTCTGGCATCATTAAATTCTACTTGAGTTGCTGATTTACGCCTTTAATGAGTTGTTTTAAGGTTTATAACTGCGTACAAGCAGAATCATTTTCAGATCTATGCTTTAACTTCACTATGCTTCAACAAAGGTGGATTCTGGAAGTTGTTCATCAGAAAACAAATACCTTTTGTAACATCCTCTTTTATTTGAAAAGGAATGAAGCAAAGGTTGATCAGTACTCTTTACACCCAATCTTTGTCAGGCAGATCCAATTTTAACCATTCACATGTAAAAATAACAAACCTGTGATGTAAGAAATGTTACATCAGTCAAACTTGCAACAGGTGCCCATATGGACCTTTCTCTACATCTGTACTTAAAAGTATATAAAGCAATGTTTGATAGTTTTTATTTTCTATCCTACTGAGGAAAGAACAAAAAAAATTGAATCTCGATTCACTGGTTATTATTCCATTTGTTTGTTTAATTTTTCAGCTTTTTTGTTTGTAATTAATGGTGAAGCACTGGTGATAAGAATAATTCAAAAGTAATTTGAAATATCAGAATTTACCAAATTTGTGAATTTTATGCCATTTCCAAAAATCTAAATCACAACTTGTGAAATGATGGCATGTCACAGATTACTATAAAAAAGGCTACATATTAACTGTATTTGAAATCATATGGTTGTTGACAGCATGAAAGCAATTCAAGCAATTGAGGGGTAAGTCCACCTGATTGGAATGCAAGTTTACTTTATATTAAAAGTCATAAACTGTACAAAAATACAGTAGATCTACAAATCTTATAACTGTTACACACAACTTACCAAGACAATGACAAAGTCCAACCAACACCAAGCATTTGTGAAATATTTTTTAAAGCCAAAAGCTAACCATTTCAAAATCATCTCCAGAAAGAAGATTACTGTGAAGAATTTGTCTACAATTACAAGAACCTCCTTTAGTAATGGACGATGTTTAAGATGAACGTCTTCAAGAGCCTAAGGATGCAAAGCAAAAACAAAGAAATGAACAGTCTTTAACACTTGTCTCATAAAAAGTTGAAGATCAGAACATAAGACTCAAAAGCCTAGAGTGAAGAACAAAGAAATTATTTCTAATATTCAAACTAATAACTCCCTTAACATTTAAAAAATGGTGATTCTGTATCTATGATCGTAGTCTTAAAGAGTTTTTAATACATTTATGAATAGACTGTATTCTACATCTTATAATACTTTTAATTGATAAGATGATTATACAACTTTTAAAAAATCCATCACAGCTTCCAATTTTATGTGTAGAAAAAATTCACTAATTGATTTTCATAATCAGTTTTACTGGAGGTATTTGGACACAACTAACCTAAAACTTAGCAAAAAAACACAAAAATTGTACAGAAATCTAATGTATTTGTAGCAATTCTTTTTGTTTTTTGAAACAAAGGTATCATTAAAATAATTATCATAGAAAAAATCAGTGGGCCATGCTTGGTGTAAATATTGATAATTTCAAAAATCAAATATTAGCAGTTTATCTCTCTTTAAAAACAATGTAGTGAACCAATTTGGAAATATCAGTATATTCTATCAGAGGTTAATTAAACACAAAATCAGTTAATCATAAATGAAAATCAGTTTAACTACTTATTACATATGTTTTTACATTTTTTACACTAACTTTCTAACAAATGCTTAATTTGGTTATATCTCAAATAAGATGTTGATCTTGAAAGCTCATAAGAAAAAGCTACATTTGTAATACATGTTGTGGCAATAGCTATCTTTAAAAAAAAATCTAATTGTTAACAGTTGGTCTGAGTGTTCATAATCATTCCTGGATAACAAACTGTCAGAGAAATAAAAGTGCCCCTCAATGGTTGCTGGCTAAACCCACTGACATTCTGCTAGTTAGCCACTGTTAATTTTGAGCTTTAATAACCACTTTGTGGTTGCATGTGATATTACAATTGTATGGTTACCTATCAAATTTACTATTATATTGCCAAACTCAATGTGATCAACATTATAGCTATGATTAATTTCAAATACATTAACAATCAAAAGCTGCTATTAATAAAATTTAAAAGAAGAAAGAGAGAATAGTCTTGAGCAACAAAGAAAGTGAGTAGAAGTTTAAATGCCTAATTTAAAAAATGAAACTGTTTATTAAAAAAAAAGGTTAGAAAAGGACAGACTTATAAATCAAAGACTGAGTAATAATGATTTGTCTCAATAATTAGATATCTTTTATCATGTTCTAGGTGAGAAACAGCTACTGACAACTGGTGGAAAAAACTTAAGAAGTTGTAAACTGGGGTTCACATTGAATAGACTGATATGAGAAAAACATTTTCTAAAGCATACGTAAGATACAAATGTTAAAAGAAAATACTTGCATGTATAGGAAAAAACTGTACGTTGATCTAATACACAAAATCATGAATTGGTTTGTTCATTATATATCTTAGTTCCACAAACAACCTGATACAATAAATATTCTTTTTTCGTTGTGTTTTTACATTATTTTTATATGTCAAGAATTTTGTGATAAACAATAATTTTTTAAATCTCAAATATTTTCACAAGTACTTAAGTATGATCTTGATTAGAGAATAAATATTATTAAACTTAAAAATACATTTATAATGTAATTTCTTTAAAAAAAAAGGTTATTACAACCTATACAAAATTTTACAGTAATTAACTAAAACAAATGAAAAGGATGTTCCCAGAAATTCATGCTAGTATCTAAATGTTTTTTTTCCATTTTGCTGTATACAATAACATAAAGTTACGTTATTATTGACTATAATCCAACTTTTCATTAAAGTTTATAGATGAGAATATAGAACTCATAGAGAATACATTTTTTTTTTGCTAAGGTATTGCTGAGCATAGCAGCATGTAATGTTTTCTATTCAGAATATTTTGAATATATTTTTTGCTTAGCCAAGCTGTCACGATGTAATTCTCTTCATTCTAAAGTGTCAAACTCATATCCGGAATCTCACTGTGCAAGCAGACTGTATTTTCTATTGTTATTTATGCAAGCAGTTTTCCTTAGATATTATTGCAAATATAATTAAATTCATGATTCAGAGCTTAAATAAAAGCTTATTGCTGAGTCTTTCATACAGAAATATATTTTTCAGAAAGATTATATAACTAATTAGTTGAAGCTACACTGTAATACAGAGGAAATTATATGAAAAGCAAAATGATTATTTTCTTTAAACAGTGAAAAACTTATAAGTAATATAACCAAGAATCCAAATCCAAGTTACAAATCAAACAAAATTTTTATCTGAAAATTCTGTATTATACTTCTAATTAGCATTAGATTAAACATTTTTTTTCAAACATACAATCATTCGAAGCTTACCAGAGTTAAACTACTGATCATGATCAGAGTAACCACCAGTGTCTCAAAGTACTTATTCTCCACCAAGTGAAAACTTTTAGATCGAAGTTTATCCCAAGACTGCCAGTGTGGAGACTCTTCTGATCCTGCACACCAGGGAAAGTGCACATAGCAACAGTCAGGACAGCATTCTGTAGGTTCTTCATCCACAATCACATCTTCTGCAGTGGAGTCTACATTCCCAGAGTCTGCAATTTCAGTGTCTGGATTTTCTTCTGAGTGTTCCAGGAAATCTTTTACATTGAAAACAATGTTACATACAGATATAAAATTTTAATGGGATATCTATGACTAAAGTAGTTAACAAGCTTAGAAGTTCATCTAGTTTATTTGTTTTAGATATTCATGTAAATTAAGCTACACAAGAGTTAAATATACTAACCATCCCTAATTTTATACTGATAGACTAAAGGGAAGGCAGCTACTCAATAGCACCCATCACCAATTCTTGGGCTACTCTAATCAAATATTGGGATTTGAAAAACAACCCTCTAATGCAACCACAACCTTCAGGAGCAGTGTGATTTTGCACCAATGGGACACGAACTCTTGACCCTCAGTTCCATAGTCAGGCACACTAGTCACTAAGCCATGCCAAGCCCAAATTCATATAGAAAACATAGAAAAACAATATGTAATACACAAGATATATGTAGATTTTAGATCATAAGTATTTCTAATCATGAAAGAAAATGAAATAAGCAAAATAAAAGAAACAAGATAAACTCTTTGGGCAGAAGAACATGTTCAACTTTCAGAGTTGTTTTATTAAGTTTCGGAAAAGCATTTTAAATCAAAATAAAGAAAACGTAAGCATTATGGTCAGTATGACATTTTCATCTTAAAAATTTATATGTAAAGGGTGATGATTAGTCTGATAATTTAAACTTAAATAGAAAGTTTCTTGATACAACCACTGAAAATACTAGGAACAATTAAGTGGAGCATACTTAGTTGTTTGTTTGCTACAATAACAAATGTAAGCTATTATCTTAACATATAAGTGTTTATGGAGTTCAGGTATGATAAGATAGCATTCCAATAAACAGTTTCTGTTGCATTTATCAGTCAGACAAAAGTTCTGGTTATATAATATAAAGAATGTAAATGCAACCCTTACTTTTCCACACATGCTCCTTTTATAACCCACAGGTATAGATATACATATACAATTATTTGTTTATATACAAACACATAAGTCATATATATATATATATAAGGAACCAACAGTTAATTGAGTTTGTTATTTTTGCCTAAAATACTGCTGTTGTTTTGAATCTCAGCTAAAAAAAGTGTATAAAGATGGGAAACAACTTTAATGCATATATTATGATTAAAACAGTGCATATATAAAATATGTATATCTATATATGAAATTTTCATACTCCAAAGTTAGGTGGTGTGAAACTGTGCACTTATAAAAGCTTTTAATTAATAATATCAAATTAAATTTTTCATAAATTACTTATATGGGTTCTTGCATAAATCTGCTCAGTCTATGGTTATAACATACATACATATTTATAAAACAGAAAAAAAGAATTTGGTCATAGCCATAATTTACCTTCACTTCCCTCAAGGTCTTCTTTACTAAGATCTTTTTTTTCTTCATGGAAAGATGATTGACTTTGTTCCTTCTCAAAATTAGATTTATCTTTCCAATCTTTCATACTTTCACTTGATTTCACACTTAAAGTATCATCATCCTTCTGTGGAAATACCTTAACACCCAGATACTCTTTCTCCTTGGCAGAAACAGGAAAAGATAAAGACTACACCAATTATCTTTCTGTTTATATTTATTAATTCCCACAATACAAGTTTCAACCATCTATGTTAACAAAACAACTATAATACATTTAGCTACATTAAGCAATTTTTCTTTAGTTTGAAAATCCTAGTATAATTTTTCTGAAATTAAAGAAATGCTCAAAATAAAGCCATATAAGAGAGAAAAAAAAAATGGGAAAACAGCAGCATATGAAACTGTCTTACAGAATGGAAAAACTGAATTAAGAAACTACTCTTAAGCTCAATTACAATTCAATAGAATTGGGTATTCTAATCTGTATTGTGCTGCCATAATTTTCTTGACTCATCTACTAAATTGAAAAAAAATAAAAAAACGGAACAAGGTTGAAATAATGTTCTCATAGCCAATCAGGTTTGCCATTCTTTTGAGCTGTCTCTTAGAATCACACTGTTCATGTAAACAGAAACCCTGCTAATTAATCCCTCAGACCTGATGAACTCAACACAGAATCTGTAACGTCATGTACAAGATCAGTCATAAGACAGGAGCAGTCCATAGTAAACTGTCCAACATATGAAAGAGATGATTTTTATTCAGCAAAAGCCTAATAAAATTCATAACATGCATTATTATATTTTCAATATAGGAGGTTATTAACACTCTTTTGTTGGATCGTTTTTTAAAATGTAAATTAGAAATACAAATTAGAAAAAAGAATATATATACACGTGTGTGTGTATGTGTGATACACACTTCAATTAATTTCTTATTTGTAACTATTATGAGACTTCTATAACTACTGGAAATGTGTGAACAGTACATAAATTATCATCTACTTATTAAACATAGACAATGTTTTATTTATGTTGTAGTAGCTAGAAACTATTAGTTTTAAAATGAAACAGCTCAAGGTTATATATACATATGTTTGTTTGTAGTTAAGCACAAAAACTATACAATGGGCTACCTGTGCTGTGCCCAACACGAGTATCAAAACCCAGATTTTAGCATTGTAAGTCTGCAGACATACCGCTGAGCCACTATATGCATATGAAATAAATTCTTTAGCATACAACAAGCTTTGACATATATAAAGCTTCTAATCATTTATTTTTTAGACACTGTAATTACCTTGATTTTGTAAGTGTCAAACTTCAAAGTAAAGGTATTAAGTATACATTTTCTTGTTAATCATATTTTAAGTCATCTTTCTTTAGTGAAAAATACAATGACCATTATCATTATCATTATTAAATACCTAAAATTCAGTTTTTTGAGATGATATCATGAATGTATACCATAGTTAAACTTTTATTACACAGTAACCGCTTGCAGTACTAGCCCTTTGAAATCCAGGCATACTGCTTACAGATTTCATACATACCAGAAAAGAAGTCAAAAAGGTTAAAATAACACAAAGTTTCAAGGCAATCAACACATCTAGCATACCTAGGTCTTTACATATGTTCTCTTTTTTATAATGTAAAACCAACAAATAAATTCAATGACTTATTTGTTTACCTTTATACTTTAATAAAAACTATAATTTCAAGGAAAACATTTTCATCCTAAAGTAAAATATAAACAAAACACATTATGAATACTATGAAGTTCATAGTAGTCTATTATCTTGAAAAAGATATTTACCTTCTTTTTGTTATCTAACTCTCTGTCTGATATTTTGTCCTTGTGTTCATCTCTGGCTGGTGGGTGGACAGAATTCATCATTGGTTTATTGTTAAGTTTCACTGTCACAGCTTTGCCATCTCCTACAAGATTACCAATACACACAGTAAATTATGGTCTTCATTCATTCATAACTGAAAACACTGCCCTTACTGTATTAAAGAAATATTGCTAGTTTTTTTTATCAGACATAATGTAAGTTAGAACTATATGCATAAATTTTTACACATTATAAACATGACATTTTGTAAATTAATAGCCTTAATTTTTTAAATTGGTAAAATTTCACTTGATAAGAGTTAATCTATTTAGTATAGTGAACTGATTGGTATCTTATGCAAAACAAGGGCCAAATAGCCACATCAGAGGCACCCTACAGTTCAGGTATAGTCATCCCTAATTTAGAAATATTCACCAGAAGGTGAACCAGTCAGTAGCATTCACCACCTATGCAACTACTCTTAACCAAATGACAGGATTGACTGTCAATGTTATAATCCCCCAACAGGCAGAAGTGCAGCCCACAGCAAGCACAGCCTTTTTAGCAGAACCTAAAAGATACATCATTAAATGATTTATCAAAAGAAATCTGTTATTGGGCTATTCAAGTTGAAATGGGAAATAAACTGTTTTGTTCTTAGTAAGCTACGTAAAGCTAAATGTAAGCTGTTTATAAAAAATAAAGAAATAGCTGTATAATGTAGCTGGCCAAACCTTATGAGATATTATTGGGTTTTAAGGCCAAAAAAGTGTTAACAGCAAGCATACCCAACTGATTAAACAACACATTCTAATCTTTATAAGTAGATACATAAGAAAAATATATTTAATTAGCTGTACTGATGGCCAGGCTAATTGTAAATTTGGCTTTAATTACTTAGCTTGCTCTGATCAGAAGTTATTATTTATACTTATGTTCTTAATAGGCTTTACATGGTATTTATATTTAAAATAAATAGCATTTGAGCAATTAAAATTACTCCCAATAATGCCAAAGATATACCTCGAATAGCAATCTCTAGCCCATCAGTAACCAGTACATCTACATCCGTGAGCTCCTTAGGACTTCTCTTTTCCTTCATTTGAACCTGTCCATCAGCAATCATGTCTCCAACTGGAAGATGTTCTTCCATATCTTCTCGATGGTCTGGTGTTTGGTCACCAATTTGGTTTCTCGCTTTTGGTTTCATACTCTGTCCATTTAAATAAATATAAGTAGTCTAGGTATCTTTGACATAATCAGGATATATGTATATGAATTATTAATAAAAATAATGCAAACAATGAATGTACTACTATTAATAAAATCAAAGGAAAAGTCAGACACAATGTCACCATGTCTTTGAAACAAGAAAAAGAAAAAGTTAATAATATACAGCCACTATATAACAGATTAGTTATTTCAAACTTCATGACTAAAACCAGCTTTAGGATCTCTATTTCTTTAAACATTATTTATTGAAACTCTGAAAAATTAACTCTCAACAAAATGAATGCCTTGCTTGATCTCATAAACAGTCAGAGTATGTTTCTTCTTTGGTAAAATAAATTTAATAATACAAGCAAAAAGAATACCTTTAGAAGTGAAAGAACATTATTTTTAACCCATCTGGATGCCCGAGAAAATCGATTAAAAGCCTCTTGTAGCTTCTGAGTGTCACCACTGTCTGAAGTTGGTGCTGAGAGATTAGATGCTCCAAATGAAGAAAGCAACAAGGCAAGAAAAAGATTCAGTACCTAGGTGCATAATGAAATACAAAGAAAAGGCCCCAAATATCAACATAATTGTCATTATGATTTCAAAATTGATTAATCAGTAGTCTAACAAATAAAATTTTCTAACTTTAAAGTCTTCTAATATCATCCAGAGGGGTCAATGGCCATGTCATCATGTTTGTTGACTCGCATTCAAAATTTTATTGAACTACTATTTTATG